AGGACCGGATCGATCATGCAAGTGTGGCTTCTTTACTCCAGGATAGACTGCTTGGAATAATGGGATTTTCTATCCAGGATGTTTGATTTGGTGGATGACAGGTCCTTGGATCCGATTATATCGTCGGGACCGACCGAAGAGAGTTTCGTTGTGTGGGATCCGGTGGAGCTTGCTAGGCTGATACTTCCTCAGAATTTCAAACATAACAAAATTTCCAATATTGTTCGTCAACTTAATACTTTTGTGGGTATTGCGGTAACACAAATTGCATAAAAATGGCTGCGTCATCTCTACCTGTATTGTGTTTCTTGTATTTATTGTTGCTTTTCTTCTTGTTTTGTTCACATTATTTTCCCTTTTTTGTGTTTTCATGTTTTTCTGTAGTTCTTATCTTTTTCATTTCATGTTTTTGGTTGTAACCAGAAATGGGTCCTTGAAAACCATTGACTTCGAGGTTTTCTTTGGAAAGGGATTCTTCGTGTAAAATTAACAATCAACCCATTGTACTAGATTTTTGAAATCAGGAAGGGAACTTGGATATAAATTATTTTGCTCTAATATAAAATCTTTTGGAACTTGTATGTGCTTATGATTTTTGAGTTCTCCTTGAAATAGTGTTGTCTAAGACTCCGAGTTGCTGGTGAGTTTGCTGATTTGTTTGCTTAATCATCAAAGGAAATGGCCAGCTCATCAAAAATAGTCCAGCAATTTGCCATCTCATTCAGTGGATCCCACCTAATGCCCCTCTCCGTTAGTTTTAGACGGCTTGATGAGTTGGCCCGCTCAATAAGGTCTTATTTGACACCTTCGATTGTTTTGGGTTGAAGGGCTTATTTAACATCGCTCGACAAGTTCAAGGGGTAATTTGCATGATTCGCCAATAAAAATATCATTTTTCATGAATTTTTTAGTCATGATATAGATAGTGTACCTTTAATTACGTTAGAGAAAAATTATTCTCAAAATGCGTATAAAATGACTTTGAAGTATCATCACCACTCAAAAAAGAAATTGTAGTTTTTTAAATTTAAAGTAATTTTTAAAAGAGTAATGATTTATTTATATATAATTTTTATATATTATATTTATATCAAATCTTGAT